ATATCACAATGGAATTGAGGCAGGGAACCCAAACCTGATAATGAGGTAATAGGATTGCGATTAACTCAATCTAGATATCAACAAGACGATATGGTCAGCATCATCAGTGGTTGAAATATTAATCCTGCCTTCATGAAATAATCCATAAAATATAGTGAATAATTCAAATATTAATAAATAATTCAAATAATTTAAAATAATAATAACCTTCATATTCAGGCTTGGGTGCTCTAGAGCTCTGAGCTGTCGACATAGCAGTCGTTTCATCAGGAAAAAGCTGGAAAAATTACTTTGATGATAGCCTTTTACGTTTTTTTTGTGCTACACATTCGGCATGTAGCGTCTTCTGAAATATTTACTATAGAAATATTAAGTAGTATGACAGCATTTCTGTACTGCCGATCTGCACCACAGTAAAAGTGGGACAAAGATACGGTATTTCGTGCTTCAGAAGGAGTCATAATTGGAAAATCCTTCAATTTCAATAACCTCTGAATTAAAAATTATCTGAATATTTGGGTCTTCGAGCCAATACCCGAAGAGTCTTATTAAACCAAATTGCATCGTAGGAAAACCCCTACAGTATGAATATCGCAATAGCGCTGCCGAGTACAAAGCTTTCATGGATCAAAAGACTGCCATGTGGACGGAGCTGAGAAACAGACTGCTGCTCAGGCAAAAATTCCTCCTGCAGAAAATGGAGGCTTAGTCCGCATTATCATCCGTATTAAAAATATTCCCATCAATAAACTAAAGTTCTCGAACTCAATAATCAAAAATCCTTTCAGTGAGACGTTCTAAATTTATATGCAATTATAATGTGCACAGCTGAGCTTAGAACGATTCTCCGCGATTCTCCATAACTTTAATGCCTGATTTTGCAAAAGAAATTTATATGGAAATTCTTTATTCGGTTCAGTAATCTTCTGTCTGCATGCTTTCAATCACACATGAATCGGATTTTTTTTATTTAAGCACCGGCATTTATCAAAGCTTCTCATCTGCATTGCAAAGTCTGCTTCTTATAAAATGGTTTACTTACAGGGAATATAACAACATAATTATTAAATAAACGCAATAATCTACATAGAAACCTTTCAGAATTTCAGCTAAAAATTCCATCAATTTGCAAATTACTAGAGAGACGTCGGTTCAAATATTTCACTGAAACAATGTTGTGCAACTAAATGAATATTCAACCCAAGTGATAAATAAAGCGATGATAAGACAAACCGGTGACGTTAGTCCGTTCCTCTTAGAAATTGGAAGATAAACCGATGACTTTGGTCCGTCCCTCTTGAAACGGTAACGTAACGGAAATTGTAACGGTTTAGTGTACGAGTATAGGATCGTGAAAAATCTTAGAAAAATTATTTTAAATAAAATGTTTTGTTTTGCCGAGAATAAAATTTCAAAGTACGTTATATATATATATACCGTATATATATAGTAAAAGTGTCATATCATGTTTTAAAGCTAAATTTGCTCGGAAATTCATAAATTTCTTGTGCTTAAAAGCATCATAATTATGGAGAATCACAGGTCGCTGCGACCTCGTGACCTGGGGAAGACATGGGGATGATGCGGGCAGGTTTTGATGAAACGATCCTCCAAGGGGCTCATGGCGCCCAAGGGGAATCCGTCTCCCCATTCTGCCTCAAGAGGGAACAAACTGACCCTCATGCTTTCCAAGTGGAAATCCATTGTGGAAATCCAAGTGGAAATCCAAGTGGAAACCCATTGTGGAAATCCATTGTGGAAATCCATTGTGGAAATCCATTGTGGAAATCCATTGTGGAAATCCAAGTGGAAATCCATTGTGGAAATCCAAGTGGAAATTCATTGTCCAGGGACCGTACCATCAAAGATTACTCAACTTGAACGCCAATTTCTAGGCTGTGATTGATAATTATATTATCAGTCTGCTTATATCGCAAGTTCACAAGGAATTTAAAAGCAAAGAAAACACTAAGCAAATTCACTAACGGCTTGAAAAACCGTTAGTGGTTGGCTGATGGAGCTACGAACGCGTCACTGGTTTCAAACATTTAGCCTATTAAGGTTCCAGTATACTTTAAAACACGCAACGTTTCAAATGGGAATTTATTGTTACAAATTGCATGTTATATGTTGAAGGATATTATTCCCTGGACACATGGGTTACAGAAATATACCCCCACGCCCCCCACAGGTCAGTCGCTCGTTTTTCATGCGCGTAGAGCGGGTTTTGTTCAGGCCACGGAACGAGCGAAGAACAAAGGGAAGACGCCGAATTTTACTGTGTATATTCTCTGAAAATTTACTGTGTTTACTGTGTTCTCTGAGTGTATATTCTCTGAAAATTTACTGTGTTTACTGTGTGTTCTCTAAATTTACGGCGTATTTACTTCGTTTTCTAACTTATATCATTACATTTATTTGCAAATCATAGGAAAAAGAAATTATTCACAATAGTTACAGAAAATAAGATTACGGAAATTACTTGAAGAAGAGAATAACTAAATTACTACGAGTTTAATTTATTGATCATGGTCTCGTGAATTCTACATGATTCAATGTTAGGGTAAATTAAATGATATAAACACATAAATTAACATTTTATGGCTCGTTTAAAAGCATTTATGACAACAATTATGTAGCGAATTGCAAAATAAATAGCGAAATAACGGCAATATTAGTTTTATTCCAACTATGTTGTTTGATTGATGGTGTATTAAATTACTTGATATAAACATCCGAATGAATAAATATGTATATATAGGTGAGCGAGCAAGACTGTCAAAGCGATCAATGCATCGCCAGGTTTTGAATCACTAAAGCAGAATCTAACAAGTGATGCACTAGAAACTGAACTATTTCAAACTGCGCGGAAGAAATTATGCAAACCATAATAAATTGTTCAATGCATTAATTCATCAGCTTCATTAGTAAAGTATAGTGGAAAAATTATAAAATATGAAAATCCAGCTTTAACAAAAATGTTTTTCGAATTTTTCTAGTTTGGATGAATGAAATGAATCAAAGCACAATTAAATAATCGTCTGTTTGGAATCGAAAATACAGGCGCGCGTCTTCCGTTTGTCTGCGCAGATATCAAAACATGACGTCATACTCACTCTCTCGCTCGCTTTCTACGTCACAAGGCGGGGGAAAAGCAGCGTTAGTCGAGGTACCAAAACTGCGATTCATGTTCCCCGCGCCGACCAACATTATGCTTAACAATATTCTGGTGCATGTTATAAATATGGATCTGAAAATGTCCTTCTAAAAGTGTTGTTGTTGTATGTCATACTAGTATGAGCAAAAAACATGTTAAATTTTGAATTACATATTGGATTACGGATTGTTTTTCTCATCCATTTAGTTGGATGTGACTCTGAATTCAATATTTTTATTCTAAATGTTCGAAAACTAGCCTTATTAACTTGCCTTCCTAGTTTACGAGGAATTTGGCTAAAAATGTCTAATTCAGCTTAGGTTGAATAATGACTATACCGACGACCGGTATGTGACATTCACTGTAAATGAGATTAAAATTATGAAGAGAATCATTGAGTGTAGAAATAAAATAAAATGCACGATAGTAAGAACGTCGTTAAAGCCATTGACGTCATCCGAGCCCAAAATTTACACGGGCCTTATGGCGCTGCGATGTGGCGTGGATTTACGTTCAAGTGATAACGATTAGTAAAAAAATAAAAGAATGATTCCAGTGACCATGATAATTGGTTGAATTTCTATACTTGAATGAATGATTCGAGTAATGCCAGGTTGAATTCTCACGTTTTCTCATTACTGTTTGCTACTGCATCTGCCAACTCTAGAGATAACACTCTAGATAGATAACACTCTAGAGATAACACTGTTCCAACCAGCTACTCACTTCTCTGATGATTGTTATACCAAAGTTTTGTTATTTAAAACAAAGTTCGCTCGCAAGCGTATCATTTCCATGGCTTAATAATTCATTACTGAATTCATTACAATTCAGCTTAGAAGTGATTGAATTCAATAAGAATTTGTGATGATTTACGTCCAACTTATTTGGCATAAATTTTTTTTTTTCACGATAATTCATAATAAATTCGTAATTTTGATTTCGAAAATCCTACCTTATTTTCTCAACTCACTGGACTTTTTTCAGATATCAAAATTCAAACACTCTTAAAAAATAGGAAGAACACAAGTCACGAAAATGTATCAATTTTGTACATAGAGATGCCTAAATATAAAATTCTGTAAAGAATTGACGAAGCAATACATATGAATATAGAAAATTCGTGACTAGTGCATTTGTCGAAAGCAAAAAGTGTAAATTAAAGCTAAAACTTTTAATATAAACAATGTCATGGAGCAAGGCAAAATCTGAGAAATAAATGGTATATTTTTCACGGACTAATCATTTTATGGAACTTATCACTAAATATTTCCTTCATCACAAAAAATTCATTGTAAAGAGAAAACGAAAACACAAGTACCCAGAAATTGAAAAAATAGAAACTCTTACTTATCCTCAGTCACTCCACACCAATAGTCATAGAAATAAAATTCCGACACACTGAGAAGAAAACACTTGCAATAAAACACATCACCTGAGGAAACGGAGACGGTAACTCCAACTGAGGAGATTTTATACTCAAAGCTAGTTAATGGAGATTGCAGGCTCTTGCCTGTCTTCAGGGCAATGAAAACTTTCATCTCCAGCACACAAAATGATTCGAAAGGCATACAAATTCGGCAAAAAGTGGGAGCACTCAATCAACAACCTAGAAACTCAAATGAGTTCCTGAACTTCTAAGATGACCGTATCTAAGAGCTTAGCTCAAATGATTCAATTTTCAAAAGTCGAGAAAGTAAATGTTAGCAATAAAATTTTAGTTACTGGGACAGAGATACTTGACTTGAGAGCAACATTACCTCAGTGACTTAAGTTTAATATGTTCACCCAAGCCCTTGAAATCGAGCATCATCTGATAATTTATTAAGATCGAATACCTTACCTTGACCTCAGAGTGCACGATATCGATGAAGCTGCCGAGCACGATGATGAAGTCGAACACGTTCCATGGGTCGCCGAAATAGTTCTAGTGAAGCCAAAGCCAACGTTCGATGCAAGAGAACATCAATAGCCATTGAAACAGCGAGTGCATGTAATGCAAGGATGATTTTTCAAACATTATTTGCACATTATCAAGAATCTATAGACATTAGGAGTTAATCAATAGTTTTCTAATAAATAAAGCAAGTTCAAAAAAATTCTGAAGTTTTTCTACATTATTTATTGCGTTAGTTGTAACATAGAGCATTTGGTGTCGCTATCTGTGTCTGAGTGATACGCAATTCGTCTAAATTAATTTTAAATCAGGTCCATTATTATATCAACTGGAATGGGGTTCTTGAATCTGTTTTGTGTAAAAAATTTATTGTAATTATAATTACTGGTTGTTAAGAATTAAAACGCAATGAAAACCGTCATTAAGCATCGCGGCAACATTGCAGAGCAAACATTTCTCATGATGATAAAATAAATTTTTCCTTCTCCTTCAAGTCCACTAGCAAAGCACAATAAAATTGTCGCTTCAAATTTTGAAGAAATGTTCTGCTTGTTTAACGCTAAAAAGTGTGAAAATGAATGGTCGCATGGAATATGAAAGGCGTTTATATGTTCGTGGGTGTGAACACGAGAATGATACTGGCTGCGAAACTAAGAAAAAAAATATGAATAGGTGACCCCGAAAACGTAATAAGTTAGTTATTGCTACCAGGGAGAGGTTGGAAGTCAAAGCGAAGTGTCGGCAGATTTCAATCCATTTATCTCCCTATAAATATAATCAATCGTGATCAGCTGCATGCAAAATGTTAAAGAGGTAGGGAGAGTAATTTAGGATGAAATTTGGGTACGTTAAAAATAGAGAAAAATTGAAACGGATAACAATAAAGGAAATAAAGAGTCATATAAAAACGTGTTGCCATCAGTAAAGCACGTTTGTACAGCATTATTGTCGAACCATTCGAACGCAGAATTAAGAAATTGATTGAAGTGAACGTGAGTTGGAGGCACCCGTATATCTTGGGGAAGAGTTCGTGAAATACTCTTCCTACATCTAGGAAAAATTTACTAGTTTCAGGATAGGTTTAATTGGGAAATTTTATGAGTTAAAACGATGAATAAAAATACAGGAAGGATTAAAAAGATGTACTCAAATTGTAGTGGCGAATGAAGAAATAAAGCAGAGAATTCCGAGCAATTAAATTATTTATGAAAAACAGAAAATCAAGACTCATTTAGCAAATTACAAGCAAGATTCATGTATATAGACTACGAAAAGAGTTCATGGAGAAACTAACACGAGGAAGATGAATGAATAAATTAGAGACTAAATCGAGGCAGATGAATGATTTCACATACAGAGTGATGGAATCCAACCAAACGACTCGAGAAGCAACCGAGAAAACCAAACTAAAATAGAAACAATCTGTAAAATCAGTAAACTTACGTGAGAGACGGAGATAATGTCCTCCCATAGACATGAAACTAATGACTTTTCTAGGCTGCAACGAACACCAAGCGATAGAATTTAGACGCAATGTTGAAGTAGAAACAAGAAGCGATTCGAGTCTGTCACGCTGATCAGTAACTTAGTTACATCGGCACTTCATTTTTTTTCATTGGCTCATCTTGCCGGGTAAATTTAATAGAATACAGAATATAAGCAGTTAAAGTGATAAAATAGTGGAATGATGTTTATTTTAGAAATATTATCCTCACAATCATTGATTGTTTTATATAACATCAGTCAACTACTTGCCTAACGCATAAAGCCTAATAGTGTTGTAAATAGTGTTGTAAATTGAACTAAAAAGACGCCTAATTAACAGAGTTACTAGTCGATGCATTTAATACATCACATGTCAGTATTGATTATGCAAATAGGGCAGGTTTAAGCTGACTTTCTATAAGATCCTCGATAATGATTGAAAAAACTAATTTTAAAATGTTATACGTAAGACGTTACCGAAACGGAATGACGGAATGACGATTTTCGTCAAACTTAGGAAAAATTTGCGATATCACGGCGAAATTTCAGCAAATTTAAACATTTGAAACAAAATTCAAAGCTGTGTTATCACTGAAAAGAAGTTCAACCTAATGTTTGTGCTTGGAGACTTGCAGCTGTAGCATGTTATAATTCGTGAATAATTATTAAAAATAATAATCAATGCAATCGATGTACGATCAAATGAAATGTAAAAGATATTACAATATTTATGAACGAGGCTGCTGCCATTTATATTATCGTATAAAAAAACAATCAACTGTTCGGTCCAGTTTGAATAAAGAAAAAGAGAAGATGTATAAGCGAAAAAAAACACTAACTATCCGAAGTAAACAAAAAAGACAGATGTCCACCTTCAGGAAAAACTGACACCGAAAACAGAGCAACAAAGTTTCAAAATATAAGGAATTTTACCCTCTACTGCCAGGTTAAATTTATGATCCGAAATTTATCTCTTAATAATTCGAATTCGAATATTAAATTCGAATTCGAATACTAAATTCGAATTCGAATACTAAATTCGAATTCGAATACTATAAACCTTCAGAGTTTGATGGATAACCTTCTGTGTTTCGACCTCTTGGTCTCAAGCCATTAGGTACGAATAGCATTGATGACGGTAAATGTATACGTAGACAAAGGATTAAATAAAAAGGAATTTTGATCGGTGAGGCAGTAGAGGGTATACGGAAGCGTCTGAGATAGCAAACCACCAAGACTAGCATTATAGGCAATAGTTAAATAAGATATATACTTCCTCTCAATGTCAAGCTAAACTTGCGGATATAAAAGTACCAGAAGGACAAATTTTCATAAGGGGTCCTTTATTAAGTGAATCAATATTAAGTGATTCAGTAATCAGTTGTTACGGCAATGTTGAATATTCATCCTATAAAGATATATTTGATGACGTCAAACGACACCAAAAAATAATACAGTGGGTCTCGTTTGCATCACGCGTTCCGTTTTCCAAACTTTAGAACTTTTGTTGCTCTGGCGTCAAGAAGCGAACAGCGCGGAGACGTTCTCACCAACCTCGAGTTTTGAATATGCAATGTCAAGAACACTACCCAGCACCACGGTGAAGTCGAACACATTCCATTTGTCATTAAAGTAAGCCTGCGAGCAAACCAAAGAGGGGCAGCAAGGTTTTATTTTCATTAAATAATTCAACATAATAACACTCGAAATTTTTTTTAAATTTTCATTAAATAATTCATCATAATAATACTCGAAATTTTTTTAAATTATAGGTATAAGAGACGTTATTTGGCAATCGTGACAATAATAATAATAGGCAAACCAAAGAGGGGCAGCAAGGTTTTATTTTCATTAAATAATTCAACTTAATAACACTCGAATTTTTTGGGGAGAAAAATTAAAGGTATACAAGACGTTATTTGGCAATCGTGATAATAATAATATAACTCAATAAAGGGAAAGCAACTCAAATAAAATATCTGCAACGAAAAACGTATATACATAATAAAATAAAATAAAAACAAATAAACACAATCTTGGAATAATGCAGACACAAATAAGTAATTTCATTAACACATGAAAACATAAATCGATGAAATTATATAATATTGCATGATAATTGAAAAATAAACTAAAACATTTGTGTGGAATGTGAAGTTGTAAGTGAAATTAAAGATAACAATGATATAAAACGATCAGCATTAAAATTTAAGCACTAAAAAAGCTCTCATGACGAAATGATTTAAATAATTAACAGGAAACTAAATCATGTAAGCTTTTTGAGGGTAATCAGGATATCCTGTCGCCAACTGGCTTATAGTATTAATTATTTTTTCATCTATAATGAACAAATCCTGAAGAATATGAAATTAAAAATTTTTACTGCAAATATCTAGCTTTTTCATTTTAATGCATACGCACATTTGAAGAACTTAGAAATTTCATCGAAATTTCGAAATTATTCTGAACCAAGAGCAAGGTGGAAGAGAATCATGCAATTCCTAATTTCCGTAGCAATGACGTGCAATTAACTTCCAGTCGATCAAATAATTGTTAATTATGAGACAAACAACACTGCAACAAGTGCAGTAATTGCCGGGCATCGAAAGGAACTCGGGATCCGAATTGCAGGAAGTGAAGAAAGCGACACGAAACATCGCTTGAAATGAACAAGAGAGGGAGAAGAGATTTGAAACAGGAAAGATCCAGAGGGAGAAGAGATTTGAACGGGACGGAGGGAGAACAACAGGAGGCGTCCAGAGGGAGAAGAGATTTGAATGGGACGGAGGGAGAACAACAGGAGGCATCCAGAGGGAGAAGAGATTTGAACGGGACGGAGGGAGAACAACAGGAGGCATCCAGAGGGAGAAGAGATTTGAATAGGGCGGAAGGAGAACAACAGGAGGCATCCAGAGGGAGAAGAGATTTGAACGGGACGGAGGGAGAACAACAGGAGGCGTCCAGAGGGAGAAGAGATTTGAATGGGGCGGAGGGAGAACAATAGGAGACATCCAGAGGGAGAAGAAATTTGAATGGGACGGAGGGAGAACAACAGGAGGTATCCAGAGGGAGAAGAGATTTGAATGAGACGGAGGGAGAACAACAGGAGGCATCCAGAGGGAGAAGAGATTTGAATGGGACGGAGGGAGAACAAGAGGAGACGTCCAGAGGGAGAAGAGATTTGAATGGGGGCGAGATTGGGGAGGATATTATTGTGAAGGGAAACTAAAGGAGAAATAAATGTGAAGAAGTTAAAATGGGAGTAAGATATTAGTACGAAGCAGCCGGAGAGGGAGATAAAATAAACATGAAGAAAGCTAAAGAAACAGAAAAATAAATATGAAGGGGGCCAGTAAGGAAGAATGCGCAAATAAGGCAATTTCCACTTATATGGTATGAGTTTGAGTGCAATTTTTAAAAAACTTTTCCCAAGATTCGACGTTGATGGAAATGTTGAAGAAAAATTAGTGATTGCAAGGGCTATTCAGTTGTTTAAGTAAGTGAATAGTTAGTGATAATTAAAATATGTCAAGTGTTAATTTATTTACACAGTTCATGTTAGGAGTTCAATTCTCACGGAGTCAATTGGTTTCGTGAATTTTTCTAGGCTTGGAATTACTTAAACACAAATTGTTTACAAGCAAACCTCATCAGTATAATCTTCCTAAATAATATTTGACTGTTTAAAAATGTGGCAATTGATAACTTTCCAATAAATCATAAAGATGGTAATTAAAAACTCACAAAATCGACCCGAGAAAATTAGATATGTACAAATTCCAGTTTAAAAATAATTAATTATTTTGCCTGATCAATTACAACTTAAACGTTAGAGTGCGTGTTGAGGCCGAGTGTAGACAAGATATTAGCTAGCATTTAGATGCATGGAAGAGTTGTGGAGAAAACTTATTATATGTACAATATGTTAAAAATTATTATATGTACAATATGTCATGTTTGGTCGATAAAATAAGAAGTAGAAATGTAATGATATTCATGAGGATGATGATGAATGATGGATGTAGACACTAAAATGAGTAATTTAGGAGACGATTTAGATGGAAATAACTACAAAGAAAATATTTCTTTTGATAGATAAGCAGCGACGCGTTCACAGATCAGAGAAGACTTCAGAGCTCAATATTCGAAAAGAATAACTAAGAAGGAACTTATTTTTTCACAAAATCATTTTTTTTTGTAATCACCAAGAATTCGTAAGGCAAATAGTAAGAATTTAACGAAAAATGGGGTGGCTGGGAAACATGTGAATTTAATAAGCTTTAACCGGCTGACGAGATTGCCTATTGACCAGAATGCGTGCAATGATGAGGTAACCTCTTCAAGTTTACTGATAAAGTGAAGTGATACGAGACATTGAACGCCTTTGAAATGTTATTAAATCCTACTGATAAGGCTTAAGATTTGGTCTCAGGGAGCTGAGACAGTACCATTTTTACCGGCAAGTTATCATTTTATTATCACCATCAAGGTAATTTTTAAAATTCAATTCTTATCATCAAGTTATTATGTTCTATTTACCTTGAAACGGAAAGCCATGACTTTGAAGACAAACTCCAGAGCGAACACAGCCGTGAAGATGAGGTTGAGTACATCCAGAGCCTGAGTGTAGGCCTTAGGCTGACCATGGAACTGCATAGCCAGGCTCACAGTGTTCAACATAATCAGAATGAAGATTGCGTACTCAAAAGGCTGCGACGTAACGAACCACCAGATCTTGTACTGCAGCCAGTTTTTGGGGATATATCGACGCACAGGCTTGGCGCTCAGTGCAAACTCGATGCAATTCCGCTGCACGCAGCAGAGTCGTTCAGAATTTAATTTTACGAGTATATCAACAGCCAATATAATAACAGCCGGCAATATATCAACAGCCAATATAATAACAGCCGGCAATATTTCAACAGCCAATATACAGAAAATAAAACAAAAATAAGCTCCGTTACAACATAATCAGAATGTGCCCTAAATTTAAAGATGAATCAGCTTTTTTTTCGGTTGCGTTTATGAAAAATTCCTCAAATTAAAAGTTGAACTAACCTGGTTTTAGTCGAATCAGTTATTCAATATTGTTCTAGATATAATGGATGAACTAAACAGCAATTTTCCTTTTTATCAATTAAAATACTCCCTGGAAAATTTAATAAATGAACTAACCTGATTTTTGTCGAGCTCACAATTCTTGTATTCTTGTTCGCCCTCGTTCTGGAATGTGACGATAACGAAACCAACGAAGATGTTCACCATGAAGAAGGCAATGATGATGATGTAGATGATGTAGTAAATGGCGACCATTTGACGATAATTGTGCACCGGCCCTTCGTCTTCTGCGTTAGAGTCGATCGAGACGTACAACAACCTGGGACATGACAATTAACATAAATTATATGTTAATTATGCTAATATTCATGCACTGAGTTAATGAGATGAATAATCGTAAAACAAATTGTATTATTATGCAAAACAAATTACTAAGCAGTGCGTACAACAACCTGGGACATGAGAATAAACATGAATTATATGTTAATTATGCTAATATTCATACACTGGATTAATTAGATGAATAATCGTAAAACAAATTGTATTATTATGCAAAACAAATTACTAAGCAATGACTTAATATACCTAACTATTCGCACACTCATCATGAACGACATGAAAAAAGAATGAATGCTTATGAATACGAGAATTTACGAGAAATTTGATACAGCAAAGGCAATAAACAACCATAAGATAGCAAATGATATTTATCGGGGCATATTTAAGAACATCAGACCAGTTCTTTTTTTTTTTTGATTATTTTTAAAAGAAATGATATCAGCCTAGTTTTTTTTGAGGGATATTTAAATAAATAATTCACTATTAAAGAATTAAAACCCTAATTGAGTGATAGTGATTATTCACTTGATGGTGGACATTAATATAGTTCGGACACGTGTAGAACACGTCGCATGTTCTCGGTAAAAAAACTCAGACTAGTTCTTTTTTTTCTGGATATTAAAAGAAATGACATCAGGCTAGTTCTTTTTTGTGGGTACTTACAAGAAATTAACAATTCACTATCTAAGAATTAAAGCCCAAATTAAATGACAGTGATTATTCACCCGGGCCAATTAACAATTCACTATCTAAGAATTAAAACCCAAATTAAATGTTAGTGATTATATTCACCCGGGCCAATTAACAATTCACCATCTAAGAATTAAAACCCAAATTAAATGACAGTGATTATATTCACCCGGGCCAATTAACAATTCATTATGAATTAAAACCCAAATTAAATGACAGTGATTATATTCACCCGGGCCAATTAACAATTCACTATCTAAGAATTATAACCCAAATTAAATGACAGTGATTATATTCACCCGGGCCAATTAACAATTCACTATCTAAGAATTAAAGCCCAAATTGAGTGACAGTGATTATTCACCCGGGCCAGCCCTCGAAGGTGGACACGGTGAAGAGGGTGAGCATCGCCTTCGCTACGTTGTCGAAGTGGAAGTCGTGCTGGTTCCACTCACGCTTCTCCACGTACGGTTTGGTTACGTCACCATCCTTGTACATGATGAACTGCCCCCTGTTGTGGTATGGTGCATGATGAGGTGGTATGGTGCATGATGAGGTGGTGGTATGGTGCATGATGAGGTGGTGGTATGGCTGTCTCTTATACACATCTAGATGTGTATAAGAGACAGGTGGTATGGTGCATGATGAGGTGGTGGTATGGTGCATGATGAGGTGGTGGTATGGTGCATGATGAGGTGCTGTGTAGTGATATGGTGCATGATGAAGGGCTGTGTGGTGAGATAGTGCATGATGAGGTGTCTGTGCCGCATGATGAATTGCCAACTTGTGTTGTTATTACATTGAATATTTAAAACCAAAAACCAAAATATTTAAAACCAAAAACCAAAATATGTAAAATATTCAACAAATGCTCGACAGGGCTCAGGAACAATTGGACCACACCATGTCAGCGAAATTACAGCAAGAGATGAAATTAATTATCTCATTCCAGCAGAGAAAGCTCATCCAATTCAAGTTTTCCAATGGAACTCTACGGTCGTTTGCTTGGAATTGATGAATAAACATGACTAAAATTTTTATATAGAGTAGACAAGTATTTTATAGTATGGTATAGTACAGTAATATATAGTGTACAGTATGGTATAGTATAGGAATAATTTAGCATAGATGTCGGCGCTGAAAAAAAAACAAACTAAGTTTGGCCTGTCGCCGATTCTTGTAATTGCAAAAAGTGTAGAAATTGGATCTTACGGTACTTACTGGCAAGTGGATGTTACGGTACTTGCTGGTACTTGGATCTTACGGTACTTACTGGCAAGTGGATGTTACGGTACTTACTGGCAAGTGGATGTTACGGTACTTACTGGCAAGTAGCGTTGACGTCTTTGGATACATCCGAACACATGTAGAACTTGCCCTGTAACAAAGACACTTGAAACGTCAACGCTCACAAACGTGAGGTAATACATTATGAGATACATTGTAATTATCCAATGGATAAAAAACGAGGATATAGATAATAGGAGTCAAAATTGATCGAATAACTGCATTTTTCAAAATTTCAAAAAAATCGATCAAAATTTAAAAAAATGCAAAATTGATCGATACTTGCATTTTTCACGACACCGCACAATAATCATGGGAAATATGCAAGCCGCTCATCATTGATGTGCATGCATTCATCTCCTAATATATTAATCAACTAAATACTTAACTTTCTCAATTATTTTCCAAGCATGTCCAAGCAATCCTACGAGGACAACAGGTAAACTACAATGGACATCATTATCACATACAAAATTATTAAATGGACATCATCTTCATTTAATAATACTAATAATAACAATAGTAATAATAATAATAATAATAATAATAATAATAATATTAATACTACTAATATAAATGAAGATGTGATATATTATAACATCTCTAATCATGATTACATTCTCTAATTGAGATTAACTCACGGTTCAAACCGTGCGCTGATATCAGGGATACCCTTAGAAATAGGCGAGCAAATACAGACTACAAATCATTATTCATAAGCAAATGATTGTTATTCCTTCACTCTGAGCTGAGCTTAATATTCTTATATGCCATAAGTATTCTTTATAGAAGATAGACAGACGTATTAGTTGTCCGTATAACTGAAATCATTTCGCGATTTCACACGGCAAGACGACGCAAGTCTCTCACACGGCAAGATGACGCAAGTNTATATTGAAGAGCTGCACGCCTAATAAATATTGAAGAGCTGCACGCCTAATAAATATTGAAGAGCTGCACGCCTAATAAATATTGAAGAGCTGCACGCCTAATAAATATTGAAGAGCTGCACGCCTAATAAATATTGAAGAGCTGCACGCCTAATAAATATTGAAGAGCTGCACGCCTAATAAATATTGAAGAGCTGCACGCCTAATAAATATTGAAGAGCTGCACGCCTAATAAATATTGAAGAGCTGCACGCCTAATAAATATTGAAGAGCTGCACGCCTAATAAATATTGAAGAGCTGCACGCCTAATAAATATTGAAGAGCTGCACGCCTAATAAATATTGAAGAGCTGCACGCCTAATAAATATTGAAGAGCTGCACGCCTAATAAATATTGAAGAGCTGCACGCCTAATAAATATTGAAGAGCTGCACGCCTAATAAATATTGAATAGCTGCACGGCAAAATAACAAATTACCTTGAAGAGCTGCACGCCTAATAAATATTGAAGAGCTGCACGGTATGATAATAAATATTAAATAGCTGGCCTGTAAGTTAATAATTTACCTTGAAGAGCTGCACGCCTATCACAGCAAACATGAACTCCAGCAAGCACGTCACGAGCATGATGTTGCCGATGGTCTTGATGGCGACGATCACGCATTGCACCACGCGCTGAAAATATAAAAATTAGTCGCTATTTCATAACATATTTAAAAATGACTTGAATAATAGAATTGCCAATGGTTTTAATGTGTTCACGATCAGGAATCCCGCCAAGCGACACAAGATTATATTATTCCATAACGCATTATCGAATGTAACAGGATTTTTATATTACGAAGAGAAAGTGCCTGGTATATAATAGCCAATCGGTGATACGAGTATAAATAAAATGGAGTGAGCAGATGTGATGCGCCAGAAGTGACGCATACGATATGTGCTATAAAACCCCAACCATTTACTGATCAAGACAAGTTATATATGGTAACATTGTAAGTAATATAAATCTCTTTAATTTTATGTAAATGTGTCAATCTTCATTTGATGTACCGTCAATGCCACTAACTTCGCCAGAGCATTTATGTCGCCGGCCTCCAAAAGAAACGATTTATTTCATAAAAAATCCATTCCACAATTTACTTGCGCGATCGAAAAAGATTTTTAGCTAATATGTGGCAATGAAACCCTACAAATCGTAATTTTGATCAGCATTTTACGGTTTTTGATAACGAGCGGCGAAGTAGAGGCCTGCAGAGTAGCGGCCTATGTGTTATTGGCGGTAGAAGAAATTTTTATGTATCCAGAATAAAGCCTTGAAAACGATTCATTTGACAATTGTTCTAATAAAATTTTTTGGGCGATCTAAACTATACGAATATGTGCCGATTTTTTGTATTGCACATGAAGGCCCACCTTGAGACCCTTGGCCCTGTTGATGGCACGCAGCGGCCTGAGTACACGTAGCACCCTCAGGATCTTCACCACAGAGATCGCGCCGTCTCTGCACGAGGGCATCTCTGTCAGCGCGTCTAATGAGTTGACTTGTGTCGGACACATGTGAAGGTCCAAACATTAGTCAGATTAAGTAGAGCGTTCGAGTGAGAGTTGAATAATAGTAGGCAATAGTGACGTACAAGTCGGAAATGTTGTGTGTTAAAACGAGTTATGAAAGTTTTTTTTGTTAGGACCGAGGCTCATGACTCCTTTGAATAATTCAAGTGTGTGATTTACTGACTGAATACTATGCTCATGAGCTGATGAAACGTCTAGAGACATCCGTTACAATATGGATTTTTGTGAGGCTTCAGAACGCTATAGTTTTACAGTAGATTCGTTAAGCGCTGAAGCAATCAACCAAATTAACTTTTAAACAAAGCCAAAAACATAGGAAATTTTTACTTCATAAGACATTGTTTTATGAATTCATTGATGTAGGTAAAAGTCTGCATACGAATCTAAGAAGGAGCTGGTTCAATCTACAGCTCAATGGAAAAAGATTCTGAATTTAAAAACTTCAATCTCAAAACAAGTGGGTAATATAATTTTAGTGAGTTATTGGCTAAAAAGCACCTAGCCTGGTTAGATGAAAAAATAATCTCTCAACGTGAAAGCGGTTTTAATTAAAAGATTCGTGTTGTCAGATTTCATTTCCTCCCAGACACAAATGAAGCTTCGAAAAACAGTTAGTAAATATTTTGAATATCATGGCGCTCGAGCTGTTACGATAGCGATGAATGTTACTCAAATAAAGTTTAAATTTGAAACTAAGAACTAAATTTGGGTTTATAAAATAGCCATTACGGTAGAAAAAATAAGAGGCCAGCTAAAATAATTTTTTCTAAGACAGGACTTTCGAATAGGAAATTTATTTAACTAGGAATGAAAAGGAAACCAGTTAATAAAGAAGCATTTAATTGCAAGAAATTAATCCGGCCAACTCCACGTCCAAACATAATATATCAAATCCGCAAAATCAGGACAAATCATAGCAGATGGAGCGAACGTATCATTTGCTCATCACCAGAAGATAAATGCCACTATTTTCAGATTGAATATTTTGAAAATTACACTGCAAAATTATTAATTTAAATTCAAAGATATGACGCAGGCAAAGATCAGCAGTCAATCAAAAAATTCAAGCGGCAGCTGTCAGCTTGTAATAAAAAAATGCGAGTTTTTACTTGAATCCGAAATTGAAACACAAGCCTAAAAATTGTCGAAATGGTTTAACTTTGGAATGAAAATTTAATCGTAGAATTAAATATTTCAAATTAAAATGAAAAATATTGCATGATAAATGCATTTTTTACTGTTTTTGCAACAAAAACGGCAGGAAATCGTCGATAATGCATGAATGGTTTGAAATTTTAAAGGCAATCCAGAAATGTTGGTAGGTGCATTATAGAGCAACCCATAAAGTTAAGAGAGCCACTATGCATTTCTCATTACTTAATCCACTTTCAACGATATAACCACAGTATATTTTCCAGCTAAATTCTAATTTACAGAGCATGCAGAGCCTAAGTTTTAGGTAATTTGTACAAGTATTAACAAGAAGACATTTTACAGTCGGGAAATACAGACTAGTCTAAACCCGAAATTCTTTCTACAGGCGGGCGTTTCGCTTTAGAAGCGAGCAGTATTGTTGCAAAAATTATTTTTCTCAATGAAAAAATTATACTAATAAATCTTTAGGTTGATGGAATTTGTTTTGATTTCAGTTCATTTATTTGTGAATTACCAGGAAAATTTGTGGACAATTTACATTTAAATAACTAGTACAATGATTATTTTTTAGAACTCAATGTTATTTCCAAATAAACCGACAAACGGTTTTACTTATCATCTTGAACGTAAAGACACAATAAAAGCATTGTAATTAGGCAACAGTTAGGTAGGGATAATCTAATTTCTATTTTAATTCAGTAAAAGGAATTTAAATAATTCTATATATTGTTCAGTCAGAACCAGCAATAAAGTAGGTAACAAGCATGCTTTAACGCCAGAAACAGTTTGGAACATAATCCATCAATCCAAACAGACGGAAATTAAATTTAAACGTTGATTTCCATTCTGATTAATAGGTGGTGAGCCTAAAACGTCTACAGACATGGCGGCTGGAGGTGTTCCTAGAATGAAGTCCATCTTCGTTGCCTTGGAATTCTCGAAATTTTGATTTTCATCGCGGGTTATAATTCGCCGTGAATTAATGACTCATCATGCATGGTTCTAATAGTTATAGTCAATTGCAATTAACTCGATGTCACATACGAGCCGAGCAGAGTGATTTCTATTAACGTTTACGATGTGATCGTGCAAGCGAAAATACGCTTGACATCGATGCTTTGGCCACAATTAGCGGGCATTTTTGCTTCAATTTTATTATGTCCACCGTTTCTAAGAATAAAAGTTGGTAGCAACAACTATTTGTACAAAAACAAAACCTGTGTGCATCACCAGCTAATCGCTGAAATTCCCTTAGGGAAAATAATTTTTTATTTTGGAATTATAAGCTGAAATTATGCGACGAAATCACGAATCACTTCATTTCTATAATTTTGCAAGAAGTTTTACCTGGATTGTTGTTTAAATTAGCCATGAAACGCTAACCTACAGGCTAATTATGAAAATTGAATTCCTACCAGAAACGTAAGTTTATCTTGTGGCGTAATCTGGTTTTAAATGGTCAAGAAAAATATCAATAAATATGTCACTGACACTCGGCATCTCACACTTCAAGATTCGTCCATCATATATCAGAAGCTGAATCCTAAAATAATTTCATTATTTGATCACGCCTTCTAACCTGAACGCCTCCTAACCAAAAAAAATAATGCTGTCAAACATATTTTTTATTTTGTATGTCTAATAATTGCAGACAAAAATTGTATTCTAATTTGTTCCAGAACCAGAGTTTACGGCATTGGGCGACGAACAGTTCAGCTGACGGGGAAATAGTTACTTGAATGCTGGTTGTCATAACCGTAGAGTTTTAAACATTGACGAGAACCCAAGTCAATGCCGGAGAATTAAATTCAAATAGAAGAGTTTTATCATCGTCCGCAGGGAATTCGTTGATAAGTTATCGTAAAGTGAGTTACAGTATGAAGAATTTCATGCCACATTTGATGTTGTAGATCAAAACCTCATACATGAATTTCCAGTAGGGAGGGTAGAAGGTATGCTTCATAAGGAGCTTAATACCTTGGAATGCGTGCGGACCACACAAGACATGATGATCACACATTACGAGGCACAGTAAGACTCAGTAAATTCCGTTTACTAGGCTTTTCTTAATAAAGTGGGAAAATATTTTCGTGGAATTTCGCTGCAGCCGCGATAGAAAAAAATCATTTCCCAAGGGATTACGTTAAAAATGTAAAAGAATGTGTTAGATATTAAAGAAGCATCAAAAGCTTATGCTATTTGATACATAACTATTTTATATATAGGCTGTTAAGCTGATAAGCAAGTTGGATGAAGAAAGCGATTTTTAGTAACCACTGGAACTAGGGGCCAACTTTAATGTTTTGACTTGGATATTATGCACATAGGGTGCTCAAGTTAAGTAAAATATAAGGGTATGGCACTCTTAGCTTCAAGAGAAGCAAGCAAAAGCAAACAAACTACAAATGTTACTAGATGGGACGGTAGAGTTAAAAAATTAGTCGCAAGATACTGTACTATCGATTTCTGCCTGGGACTTCTGATGGAACAATAGCTTTAGGTACACATGTAACACAGAAGGAACAATGATTCTACTTTACCATGCTTAAAATGAGTTCCCTGCAATGGTATTTGATTTCCAGAAAATTACGTTTAATACCAACAAATTCTACTGATTTTAATCCAATCAAACAATGGTAGCGAGAAGGTAACATTAAAACCATTACCGCCCAATCCACTTAACCCTTGGATTATAAAAGCAATAAAGTAGCATTACAAAGTTGTTCAGTTGGGCGGTAAAGCTTAAGAGGCCAATAGTTCTTCGTAACATGGATACGAGCATCGAGGAGCTGGCGAAATTTGATATTTTTTTCATTTAATTTAACCAGTAATTTTTCTTCTTTCAGTTAATTTTATTATAACCAACATAATGTCAAATTTTGGTCTACAATAATGTAAGAATTTGCTGATTAATATAATAATTAAGTTAAGATTTTGCCGGCAAAAAATTATCAAAAATTGCAACTCGAAGTCGTTTAATTTGAAGTCATAATCACTTCTCAGGTCTTCGATGCTCGCAGGAAGAAAACTGCAACTTTAGCACGAACATTACTTGAAGAACAGTAAGAATGGCGAACACGGTATACGGCAATGCTTAAATTATTTTACAGTTCTCATTGAACGCCAAATATGCAAGAATAGTGAATACCTTTGAGCGAGATCAACTCTGTGCGGTTCAGGGGGGAGTGGTAGGGAGTGGGGCGAAAAAGATAAATGCATTTCAATAAAGTTATTGGATAATTCACGCGACAGGATCAAACACTTACTTCATAAGAGGCGGGACGGAACACACTTATTCACACGGGGATACAAATAACCTGTGTGCTCTGTACAAATTATCTTGAATGACGGACACAGATTAGACGCGGACACAACAAACATATGTGTGACACATCAGCTCTCGTTAATACAAGACACAATTGTTCGGGGAGAAGAAAAAATTTAGATTTTTACACAATTTGTGTGTACAGGATTAGGAGTTGACCACAATATTATATTGAAGGATGGAGATGAAGATATTTAATTTCCAAAAGCAGTGTTAGAGAACGCCACCAAAAATCAGAAAAAATATACGCGTATTATCAGAAGCCACCCGATGGTCGGCCGTACGTAATTCACTTTGATATTGAATAGGGTAGTGGACAGTAGTTTTGCAGTGGCAGAAAGCTATATAGGAAGTTTAGTGATGTTACTGTGAAATTGAGACGTATAACAAACTTTATTTGATCAAAAATTTTGATAGTATTATAAATCTCATACCTATATTCCGGAATCACGACGTTTTGGATAAACCAAGATACTACACAAATTTTTCGCTAATAGAGTCAATGAACCAATTAGAATTTAATTTGTGCATCCAAAGATCATAGATTTTCTGTGCAGATTGCAATCAATTTCTGGAAACCATTTCGCCTGTAGTGTGAACTTTCGCTGTGAACTTTAGTGTGAACTTTCGCCTGTAGTGTGAAGTAGCTTGCCTAGTGAAATTGGGGAATAAAAATTAAATTGAAGGATACGGACGCCACATAGGATCGGATTCCGTTCTCTCAAACGACGTGGGATCAAATTAATGATTTCGGTCATACATAAATGTTGACGTTTTACAAGAAGACGAAGTAGGAACGTCAGTCGAGGAGACATGAATCGAAAAGGTTGTAGTGATTGACCGTATAAATTAGGAATCAAATCTACTATTACCTGTATTAGTGAATTAGCGGACGATATTAAATATTAGATTATTTAATCATTCAATAGGATTTTCAAACGAGTCATTAGCATTAGGCAAGATAAAGTGATAAAATCAATTATGTACAGTGCTTTAGATTATATTCGCTATAATCCATTCGTTTTGCTAGGGAAGTTTTGCAGCCGTAACGAACTTAAAAGAGAGGTTGCATTTACGTTTATTCAAACTAATAGATATTAATTAAGAGGGTAGAATTATTTCCGTTGCAGATCGGATTAACGACTAGTTACGCAATTTTACGTCATTTTCAGAACTTCACTACTTCAGTAAGTTCGTTGAATATAAACAATTCTGAACATGGATTGAAAAATAAACAACCAATCCGAGTTTCGTATTTTGATGGAATTGCAAAATCTATGTAAATTATTTACACGTCTCTTTAAAACTCGGAATTCGTTTCCGATATGACCGATATAACGAAATTAAAAATACCACTATTGCCAATATATCATTCGATGTAACAAATATCTAATTATAACCAATGTCACACTGATGAGCTTTACGCCATTCAATTGTAACGGTTTCAGACGTCGGTACGTCTTTATCTGATAGATGATTCCCGAGCTATCGTTGAAGGCGCGCAACGAATTATCCAAGCGGAACGAATTATTATCACGCGCAACTAATTAAAAACTAATTAAAACATTAAACGCATTAATGCAGAGTCAGTTTAATTATTTATTTATTGTTTTTTTAGTATGTATGAAAAGTGACGTTGTAAGAGCTTCTCTATTTAAATACTTGATTAGAACCTAACATGTCAATCGATACCAAATGCCAAATACCAAATCGATACAAAGTTAGTGTAGGAGTATATAGGAAAAAATTAGCTGGATTATCACCAGCTAAGATGCAGTCACTGCAACGAGCAATGTAGTGGCGAGATTGTACATCTAGACTCCTACTTCTCAAAGAGAAAACAATAAAGAAAAAACGTCATCAATGTTGTCCCGAAAGTAATCAAGTTTTTGCAATTATTTATTCATATGATTTAAAGACGTTATTACTTTCTGGGCAACCTGATACAAAAATAATTTTTCCTAAGAGAAACTAATATAAGAAAATATTTTCAGCCAATTTCCTAATAGGAACTAAGATGAATTCACGAAATTCACAAGACCATAAGAATTACGTGAATCTATACCGGCAAGACCAGCTGAACGGGCAAACTTTACCCGTTCACTAACCTCTAAAATTTCTAGAATAGAATAAGATGATATAAATAGTGAGGAAAGCTAAGAAATAGCATAGTCGTGGTCACGCTAACAAGGATTAGGATCAGAGCACGACACGGCATTAGACAATGGCTGCAAACTTCCTTATTTTTTACCTGACGAGGTCCGGGCAAAAGTTCGAGATTAAACAATCATAAAACACAGCGTTAATGGAAATAGAAACACAGACATTCGTAATAAATAATTGACGGATGGTTTCATGTAACCTTAAAATGAACATTGAAAAGGGAGAAATATTAGAAAACATACACTAAACAGCTACGATACAGTTATCGTAAACGGTTATGATCAACAATTATGATAAATTCTGAGGAGGGAGTAAACCTACTAGCTTTTGATTGGACCTGTAAGAAGTACACATAATTGTTCTTTAGAGGTCAAATGGAAATGAAAATCACATGGAAAAATCTATTTCTTTGATGCTATTGTAGATAACAGCAGACAGCAAAAAATTACACGTATACTGAATATATCCACACAAAAGAATTTATTCAATTCAAAAATAGCGGATCGGAAAAAATTATAAATGAACATGGGATAGAAAATCAGCGGAATCGTGAAAAAGCGATTAGAAGATAAGGGAAGATATATAAGAACAGGAAGCGACGAATGCAGGAATTAATGCATTGTTTGTTGGACTTCATAGATGACCAAATGAATGGAAGGTTGATTGAAGGAGAGTGAAATGGATTAATAGAGGCACATAATGAAGAGAGATATAGAATAAGAGTGAAAATTTCATCATTATTTAATGAAGAGTGAATGATTCAGACGAACGAAAATGAGATGTTAAGATTCAACAGTATAGCGGGAAAGTTTTATGAATAGATCAATTAACAATATCGCAGGAGGGTAAATAAATGATAAAATATACAAAAATCTCTGAGCTCGCATTTAGGAGAAGGAATTGATGGATGGAATGTCAATCAATATTATCATTTACACAGTTGAACGTGACTAAAACAAAAATAAATGTGAAGAAATGAGAATTGGATGGTTAATACATATAACAAACGTAATCACTTGAATGGGGAGAAAATGAGCGTGGAACAGTACAATAATATAGTATTTTGGCTCACTTGAATGAGAAGGAAGTGAGGGAGGAACAGTGCAATAATATAGTCTTTTGGCTCAGTTGAATAAGAAGGAAATGAGCGTAAGTGTACAATGATATAGTCTTTTGGCTCACTTGAATAATAAGGAATATAATAATATAGTTTTGGCTCACTTGAATGAGAAGGAATAAAATAATATAGTCTTTTGGCTCACTTGAATGAGAAGGAATATAATAATATAGTCTAGGCTCACTTGAATGAGAAGGAAATGAGCGACACGGCGACGACGAGCAGATCGAGGAGGTTGAAGGCTGAGCGGCAGAAGGCGCCGTCGTGCAGCACGAAGCCGTACGTGATGGTCTTAAGGCAGATCTCGACGGTGAACACCGACGTGAAGAAGATGTCGAAGTAGTTCAGGATCTGGGGCAGTGAGAGAGTAGCGGTCACTGACTGAACTACTAGTTCAGGATCTGGGGTAGTGAGAGAGTAGTTGTCACTGACTGTACTAGTAGTTCAGGATCTGGGGTAGTGAGAGACCAGCGGTCACTAACTGAACTACTAGTTCAGGATCTGGGGTAGTGAGAGACCAGCGGTCACTAACTGAACTACTAGTTCAGGATCTGGGGTAGTGAGAGAGTAGTTGTCACTGACTGTACTAGTAGTTCAGGATCTGGGGTAGTGAGAGAGTAGCGGTCACTGACTGAACTTCTAGTTCAGGATCTGGGGTAGTGAGAGAGTAGCGCTCACTGACCGAACTACTAGTTCAGGATCTGGGGTAGTGAGAGACCAGCGGTCACTAACTGAACTACTAGTTCAGGATCTGGAGTAGTGAGAGAGTAACAGTCACTGACTGAACTACTAGTTCAGGATCTGGGGTAGTGAGAGAGTAACAGTCACTGACTGAACTACTAGTTCAGGATCTGGAGTAGTGAGAGAGTAGCGGTCACTGGACACGCGTCACTGACTGAACTACATGAAATGAAGACAAGTTTTCTTTAAAATTTATTCAAAATCTGAGGTGGATAATCTGTGAATACACAAGTATTTAGTAATAATTGATTGGCATGATGTAATCTTTTATAATTAATGGACGAGTATATTAGCGACTACGAATGCATGGTGCGATACCAAGTAGAAGCAATAGGAGCAATTGGATCAATAGGAGCAATAGGAGCAATTGGATCAATAGGAGCAATAGGAGCAATTGGATCAATAGGAGAAATTAGATCAATAGGATCAATGGGAGCAATTGGATCAATAAGGAGCAATGGAAGCAAAGGGAGCCATAAGGGATAATTTGAGCCAATGGAGCAATTGGACCATTAGGAACAATAGGAGCAATAGGAACAAATGGAGCAATGGGAACAATTGGAGCAATAGGAGCGCAGGTGTACCTGGTTGCGTCTGGAGTTGGAGCTGAGAGGATCCTCGGCGGCCAGCATGCCGGAGGATATGAGGATACACACGAGGATGACGTTGCCGAAGAGGCTGTGGTTGCACACCGTGTGGCAGAACACGCGGAAGCTGGACAAGGAACGCAACATCACTAAAGGATATTCAAGCAAATTTGTTCAACGAATTATGAACAGAATATGCGAAAATTTCGGCTATAGTACCAACTGTTTCATATCAAGTAGAATATACATATTTTCATGTGACGTTTTCCATTTTTTAGAAGGTAAAGGAAAACTTAACACGTAAACTTTCGGTCACCGTATAAATGAATTATTTGATTCAGGAAATGGGCCCGCCAATAACTGAAATAATTTATTCATTACATGGTAATTTGCTGCAGCTACTGATGAGTGATCTTATTTTGAGTATCTCAACTGCTACAACACTTCACGGTTACGCAACTTACGCAACATGTATTCAATCTAGTAATTAGATGCAATATAAACTAAAATTATTTTTTGAGTTCATCCAAAATACTGTTTAAAGTTAACCAAGATTGGCGTTAAAGAATCGAAGACTATCCCATAAAGGAAAAATTTCAGACAATTATTTCTTGGAGATGATTATTATAGGATTTTACAGCAGCGTATTTATTGATTTATTTATGAAATATCATTCATATTATTTCGTAATGTTTGCCGGAACTAGTTCATGAATGTCATATACATTATTTCATACCCCATGGCTAGTGAACTGCGTATGATCAAATTGAAACTGACATGTTCATTTGGAAACAACATCCCATCCATTGTTAAATGAACGGAACTGTGACGCGTTTTCCTCCGATCCCGAACATCGAACATCGCATAATATTTTATTAGTAATAATCCAGAGGAAATTATTATGAAAGTAACGTTTTCATTTTATTGCAGAAGTCAAGTCTTAATTGAGTAGGAGCAGGGGGCTCTGAGTCTCTTCGCAAATTTAATAATAAATTTGGTTTGATCGCAATAAAAATAGGAAAACCATTAATAACTCAATCGAGCTAATTTTCACAATTTTTATGCCTCCATTTAAATGAAATAAAAGTTTTAAGTTAGCAGAGCAAGTAGAATAATTAATGAGAATAAAAATTCTAATCATCACGTATGCACTCATCTCTAATAGTGGAATCAAATTTATTTCTCCAACTAAACGTTTCCCTAACCAAAAACGCGTGCATGCTCATTAGTCAGCAAATATAGGTTACTTCCCCTTCTAAATTAACTGAATTTTCTCAGTTTTCTTTTGAATTGCGAGTAAATATATGCAAGACTTACCGTGGCCTCGCAGAGGTTCGTCTTTTTTGGGTGTGAATGTGATAAGCTACAATACCACATGCATATGCTGTACAACATGACAAGCCTTCATGTCTTATATCTAAATTTATTATTTAAGAGCCATGCATTTGGTCCAAATGCTAAACGTGAACGAGCAATTGCCATTGCTTCAATCATGCAAACTTAGAAGGTATAATTATTTAAATTAATAGAAGTAATCAGGATTTCTCTGGTCAAGCAAAGTCATGCAAAGAATTCATCGAGAAAATGTTACCCAAGCATTGTAGTTATTTTTTATGCAAACGCCTTTAAAATGGCAGCGATCAAAAATATATTTAGAGCTTTATTGGAAATAAGGGCGTTTTGCCGTAACCAGTGAACTTTGGAGGCACAAAAAAATTAGGAAAGTGAAATAGTTAATGAAATATTTATGGTAGGAAAATGTCGTGAATGATGAAGTCGTGCATGATGGTGGTGCAGAGGTAAATTGTGGTCTGAGGGCGTTGAATTTTGGTGAAGTTGAGCTGAATTTTGCAAGAACAAGTATAGTGATTCATAAGGGTGCTGCCGTGACATCAGGGTTGCAAAATGTTGCGGAATTTGTAAGCCTCCACAAACGCATCTACGCGTGTCAGGAGCCTATACTTTCAAAAAAGTTCAAGAGATCGTAAGTTCATCAGCCAATCATTGACGGCCTTTCAAGCAAAATCCACCAATCATTGACAAGAAAATAGAGCGTAAGTACTTAAGTTCACTTAGCGAGTTCTGAAAGTATGGCCCCTGGTCATGTGGAATGAATCGCGAGTTTTCAACAAATATGATTTGTCAATATATTCGGGGCATGATGACTTGAAAATTCCAGGTGAGAACCAACTATTTTCTTCAATTTTCATCAAGTACCTTCATTTTTGTTGAGGTATTTCTAACTAATGAATCGTTTCAAGAAATGAAACGCGGGTAAAAATTTTCGAGTGAGATCGTGATTTTGTTTTTCAGTCCACGAAAGTTAGTTACATAGTTAGTGTACCATAGTGTGCCAAAGTAAGTTATATAGTTAGTGTCAGTTAGTATGCCGTTAGTGCATTGTTTATACTTACCTTTTAGCAGCACGAAAACATTTCACGAATGTTAGTGTCTCATACGTTCATAAATTTTCAATCGATTTCGTTGTCTGCAGTTTCCAATCTAACAAATTGACTTCAGCACATTGCGGGCCAAAGAAATTCATAACACATCCGTGTGCATACTCCACACATCCGTGTGACACTTTACACAGAATAACAACAAAACAACACCCGCTAAAAACCTGTTGGTGTGGCATGTATACCTGTTGGCGTGACAAGCCTACCTGTTAGTGGCAAGTCTACCTGTTGGTGTGGCAAGTCTACCTGCTGGTGTGGCAAATCTACCTGTTGTTGTGACACGTCTACCTGTTAGTGTGGCAAATCTACCTGTTGTTGTGACAAGTCTACCTGTTAGTGTGGCAAATCTACCTGTTGTTGTGACAAGTCTACCTGTTAGTGTGGCAAATCAACCTGTTGGTGTGACAAGTCTACCTGTTGGGTGGCAAATCTACCCGTTAGTGTGGCAAGTCTACCTGTTAGTATGGCAATTCTACCTGTTAGTGTGGCAATTCTACCTGTTAGCGTGGCAATTCTACCTGTCAGTGTGGCAAATCTACCTGTTGGTGTGGCTAAAGACGAAGAAAGACGACGATTTAGGAATGGGTTCTATTTTGTTGAGAATATCTTGGTCATCGTCGGCGCCATCATCGGCCACTTCTTCTTCTTCGTTGTTATAATTCCCGTCTGAGGAACCAAATTATTCAAAATTAAATAACAATGAAAAATAAATTAAAATTATTTTTAAATGAGGATGATGTTTTGATGTATCCGTGGGTGCAGAAATTTATTGCGAATGAAAATAGATTGAAATAATTAAAGATGAACGAAGTTAAAGGATTAATATATAATACAAGAATGAAAAACTACATGAAAAAGCTACGGATATCTTGAAAGGAGCTTAGGGAAAAAATATGAAATAGAAAAGTTTTGTAGGAAAACGTGTTAAAAAAGTTACGACAATGTCAATAAAATTCTTCGAAGAATTGAATCACGAATGAAAACAATTGAAAATATGACATAGAAAAATCGAAGCGAAGTTATTAAAAAAATTTGCACGTCATGTACAAATAATAAAAAATTTAATATGTTGCACGATCGAGCGTAGAAGATGATCAAAAACATGGATGCCTTTGAATAAATAATCAATTAAACAGATATTCAAAAATATGAAACAATCATCAAAAATATGAACCAATGTAATTGACTAAATTTCTGAAAAAAAAATACATTAAAACCACCAGCAATCTATGAGGAAAACGTGGCTGATAAAAGAAAATATTGAATTTACTCTAATTTCGAACAATTACTTGTTTCAACTGTTTAGGGAACGGTGAAGAGGGACTTTAATTTCACAAAGAATTATACATAATATAATACAATACTCGTTCAAATTTAATAAAAATACATGCCTAGCCACGAATGCCACATTACGAAGCGTGCGTCAGGCTGCGCTAATAACGCATACATTTCTTAATAATACCTAGCATTGAAATGTACATGCTCCCTAGATTAATGAACATTTTGAGTAAATATTACTGGGATATTATTAAATATTAATAATATTTTATATTTAATTAATATACGTAGAATAATAAATATTAATATTCTACTACTAACTATCATAAATGCATAGAATATACGATAACACTACAAGAAACGGCAAAATGCTCAAGCAAAATGAGGGACAATATCTATCAGTAAATTATAAAGATGAAAGGCAATGAAGAGGAAGGGAATGATGTTGTTCACAGGGCATATATATATCCCGTCAACCGGAAGAGATTCGTGCGTAGAAACAAACGTACATAAACGCTTGATTGAGTGCACACATAACAAACGTTCACAAACGTTTGCTTGAGTGTACACACAACAAACGTTCACAAACGTTTGGTTGGGTGTACACACAACAAACGTACACAAACGTTTGATTGAGAGCACACACAACAAACGTACACAAACGTTTGATGCCGAAGTCATTCTATATTATTTGTTGTGTTTATTGAAAGTGTAATAAAGTGTTTTAATAAGTACTCGTTAATATCCAGAACCTATACGATCCTGTAGGCTAGTTGGGTGTTCTGAGAGCCCCAACAGGGTGTACACACAACAAACGTACACAAACGTTTGGTTGAGTGTACACATAACAAACGTTCACAAACGTTTGATTGAGTGCACACACAACAAACGTACACAAACGTTTGATTGAGTGCACACAACAAACGTACACAAACGTTTGATTGAGTGCACACACAACAACAACAATCGTACACAAACGTTTGCTTGAGTGTGCACACAACAAATGTACACAAACGTTTGCTTGAGTGTGCACACAACAAACGTGCACAAACGTTTGGTTGAATGCACACACAACAAACGTACACAAACGTTTGATTGAGTGCACACACAACATACGTACACGACGAGTTTGGCTACAATAAAGACCTTAATGTAAAATGCATTACTTTCATAGTAACTACAACAGTTGGGAAATAGAAATAGGATTATTTGCATGAAGGATATAATTATTGTTGATCCTCTGTAACGTGCCTATGAAGCATATGACATCAAGTAGGAATCTGCTAAGAAGGAAATTTTAGGACACTTGCATCGAGTACGAATCTGTAGGAAAACAAATCATGTTTTAATTTAAGTTTTCTTCATGCTCCATACAAGGCGGCCCTGGCAATACAAGCAAACAGAAGTAAAATATTATCAGAGAAATGCAGTACATCCTACGTAACAAAAATCATATAATGAGCCTTTCAAGCGATTTTCAGTAGACGCGCCACAAATTATCTCAAAATTATAAATAACCATGATAATTAAACTAAATTGATCAGTCCATGCATAGACTATGACTTTGTAGGGAACAAAATGTATCTAAATGAACGAAAAGTAATGAATGAAAATCTAGATTTTTAAAATGATTCGAAGCAGATGCAAATGAGAAAAATTCACATGGGTCTACGTAGAGGCGCGGGATCATGCGGGCAAGCTAACGTCTGGAATAAAAGTTTTAAATTTGTACAAACTACAACGGAAGACAACAGCCAAGACGGATACTGTGATGCTATCCTAGGCACAGAGTCACCGGGCTCGTTAACTTGAACTGAATGAAACAATGACAATGAATGACAGTGAATGACACATTAGATATGGTCGAAGGATCGTATGCAATCCTTTGCAATCAAAATCAATATGGACAGTAGCAAGGAGTTATGTACATGAATATGCATTCATGTACATAACTAGTACATGAATGCACTAGTCGAACACAGACTAGTGCATGAAAGCACTAGTCGAGCACAGACTAGTGCATGGAAGCACTAGTCGAGCACAGACTAGTACATAACTCGTACATTAAAGCACTAGTCGAGCACAGCGACTAGTACTCGACTAGTTTACTACAACTAAGGCGACTCAATACTCAGGACCCATGGGAGGGGGGCGTAGCTCCCTACAGGGGGGCGGACAGCAGGCAAGATTAAGGTTACCTTCAGAGGCGCTCGGTGTGCCCGACGTCGTTCCAGAATACCGCGGTAATGAGGGTAATCGTAAGCGATGTGTTCAGCTCTTGACCACGTACGCGGTAAAAAAGTACACTACGGCTTCCTAAGTGTACATTTATTCAGGGTATAAATATCGCTTGATTCAATCCTCCACGCTGCGAGCGTCGACAAATTCGTACTTTAAAATTAGAGTATCCTAATCAAACGGGCAATGAGTATATGTAACAACAGCGAAAGATACTTCAACTTATCTACGACAAGACAAACAAACGCGAATAATCTTAAATAACATCGAAGTTGGAATAACTTCGTAGAAGCCACCAAATGGTCCTCGCGTTAGGTATACACGCTAAACTTGACCCTCTACCGCCGTATGTCACTCGATCTTCGGGAACATAACTTTCAAGTTGAATTATACGTAAACTATTGAGCGTAGCAACCTGATGACGTTTGTACGCAACAGAGAACATTGAAAAGTTGTCGTACGTGGCGGCAACCATCAGTGCAAGTCATTTTGCGCTCCAGTGCTGGGAAGAGTGATTGTGACAATATTGCTCCGGTTACTCGTGTCAGGTGGTAGAGGGTTAATACTTTGTGCCCAGTTAGACTTGGTATTGAATTATGCGTTATTAACCACGATCGCGCTAAATCACTCACTATGAATGCAGAAATAGTATTGAAATAATAGTACGAATTAATCGACGGTAGCAGTAAAGTAGTGCGACATCATGTTTAGTGTACCTGCTCTTATGCTTGAAGAGGAAAAAGCTGGTGGCCTTAGGCATGGGTTTGATCTTAGGTTTGGAGCTGAACTGAGACAGCTTTCTCTCCTTGGCTGCGGGAGCGCTCTCGCTGCCCCCCGCTGGCACGGGAAGGTTCATAATTGTATTGAGAAATAAGAATAACTTGTAAGCTGAGAAAATCTTCTGCAGAGGTAAATTCCAGTTAATATCTTGCATGTTCTGCACACTAACAACTGGAGTTCTTGGGCACGGTAAGGTTCATTATTCTATCGAGAAATGAGAACAATTTGTAAGCTGAGCAAATCTTCCGATGTAAATTCAAGTACTGTAAATCTGCTGCGTGCACTAAACTAGCTAACAACTAAATTAAAGTTCTTGGTTTAGGAGAAAATTGAGAGCGCACGAAGGAACATGGATGGCTTGCTGGAGGCGCCAGGCTGCAGAGGTTTAAAATTTCACTTTATGTGATAGACTTGAATAATTTAGTTTTATATCCGAGACTGCATCGCTTGTAAAAAATGTGAAACTAAAGAAATTGTTGCATTAGAACACGAGCATTTCATTAGGAAAGAATAATATATCAATACCAATAATAATGTCGCCGTCAATGATTTAGGAAATAGCATCATAAATAAATATCAGGAGCACCTTGCTGCCGACAAACCTGGAAATAAAATAAAGTGAAATTTCTGGACAGCACGTACAAGTCTTCACCTATGTCAACAATAACATATTTAAAGCGTCAAAAAGACTAATCTTATTACAACGTTAAAGAGGAAATGAAGAGATGATAGAATATAAAACAATGATGAAGGATGATGACGGCGCTGATGAAACAGAAGAAAGTCGTGTATGAGTCTTGAAATCTTCCAACGTCACAGAAAAATAAAAATTCATTTTCATTTCACCTTAACGAAATAACTACGATAAAATATACCTACATAAGAAAAAAAAATCCAACACTGTATTATTCTTTATATAAACTTATAACGCATAACTTCCGATCAAGACGAAGAACTAATATAATTAATTCCCTCATAAATTTTCTATTCAATGTTCTAAAGATGGAAGAAGTTCTCACCTTCGTCTACATCACCGTAGTCGTCGTATTTTTGTCCCTCTTTGTCTTTCTTATTCTTATCATCTTCCATGACCACTTTCACTTGGTTTGCTCCTGCAGCATCACCACTGCAACATTACAAGAATTTTCATTACTAAAACATATTTATTACAGTGAAATACAAAATATATAATTATTTTCGCGTATTAAAGTTACGTTGCTCTAGTTTTATAGTGTCAACGGTTCAATGAAATATAAGAACACTCATGGCCTGAGGTGATTTTGCATTAATTGCTTAGGCTTTTTCCCGACGAATCAACCTGCCTTACTAAAGATTATAGAACTACTTATATCATTAGTCTGCTTATATCGCAAGTTCACAAGGAATTTAAAAGCAAAGAAAACGCCAAGAAAATTCACCATATCGATATTGTCTTTGAATTTTGACTTTTAAAGTGATTTTATTCATTTTTAGTTTAGTCGAACTGATGATGGAGCTGGACTCCGAAACGTTTTCAATATCGATATGGTGAATTTTCTTGGCGTTTTCTTTGCTTTTAAATTCCTTTAGATTATAGAACATAATGAGCCAAACTAAACTTCTTAGGTTATAAAACCTGACAAGTCATTCATCATGACATTGGAATATAAGTTTAAACTGCACTCTGAATGTTACGCGACATGACTAGCTAACGTGCTTCCGAAAAGTTGTGCAAGTGGATATTTTAACCTGTAAACTGTAAATTACCCTGTAAAGTTGTTTACAGGTAAGTTGATAAATTACCCTGTTATCTCACAGTTTTACAGGATTATAACCTGACTTTAGCACTAAATTCTGGCCAAATTAACCACACGGAAAATGCGTAAAATTCAGTCTAGCCTTAGACTGAAGGGTTAAATGATTAAAGGGTTCAAGGCTTCTTTAAAGGGTTTGGAGCATCTGATAATTAGTGGGATGACTGATAATTAGTGGGATGACTGATAATTAGTGGGATGACTGACAATTAGTGGGATGACTGACAATTAGTGGGATGGCTGATAATTAGTGGGATGACTGACAATTAGTGGGATGACTGACAATTAGTGCGATGACTGATAATTAGTGGGATGACTGACAATTAGTGGGATGACTGACAATTAGTGGAATGAACTCACCCCGCTGGGACGTGGTTCATTTTGTCCGTGGCAGGTTCAGTTGCTGCTTCATCCCCCTCCTCCCCTTCGGGCTCAATGGGGTTGCCTTCACCATCCAGAACAGGTTCAGGGGCAGCCTGTCCAGGGGTTTAATGGTAAACTTTTTTAATTTAACCCTAACTATAGTAAATAATTGAACTTGCGGGTGTTAATTAGCCTTCACCATCCTGAACAGGTTCAGGAGCAGCCTGTGTGGGGGGTTTTATTGAATACTTAATTAATTTAACACTTACGATAGTTACGGTACTCATTGAACCCGCGGATGTTAAATAAAGTTGGGATCCTGAACCATATATGCATGTAATATACCTAGATGTGGAACCCTGGTTTTAAATGAGTAATATAACTCCATTGATAAATCAGACATCAAATCATCTTAATTTGAAATTATTACAGCAGCTTCATACTCCCATAGATTTTATATTTTCCGATTTAGAAAAAAATTAAATGAAATTAAATTAAAAATTAAATTAAAAATTAAATTAAATTAAAAATTAAATTAAATTAAAAAATTGAATTAAATTAAAATTAAATTAAATAATTAAGAGGGTTTTATATCAGATAAATTACAGCAGCTTCATACTCCAAAAAAATTACAGCAGCTTCCTACTCCCATACATTTGTATATTTTCCTGCATTCGAAGAAATTAATAAAGTTTTATATCAGGTTTAAATTAATGACAGTAAATAACACACACCTCTCCACCTTCGCCTTCGCCCTCTCCGTCGCCAAGAGCGTCCGCGTCAGCCAAGTTGTCCACCGCGATGGCCAAGAAGACGTTCAGCAGGATGTCTGTGGCATGATGGACATGGCCATACATACATAATAAGCGTGTTATGGACATGGTCATACATGCGTACTAAGCGTGTGATGGACATGGCCATGCATGCATAATAAGCGTGTGATGGACATGGCCATACATGCACACTGAGCGTGAGATGGACATGGCCATACATGCATACTCTCATACAGATACTCGTGTAGCGTGAGATGGACATGGCCATACATGCATACTCTCATACAGGTACTCGTGTAGCGTGAGATGGACATGGCCATACATGCATACTCTCATACAGGTACTCATGTAGCGTGAGATGGACATGGCCATACATAAACCATCCAAGTAATCATAAAAGGTACATTCATACCATTTATCTTAAATATTCGCCTTCGTCCCGATGCATTTACATTTCTTTTCACGGATGATACTTCGAATTAAATCTAAAACAAAAATGAGGGATAAATGAGTAAAGTCTGTCCGAACTTCAGCATAGAATCAAAATTAATTCTCGTGTTAATATTCAACAAGTATTCAAATGTATAACCCAGTATTTTGATTATAATGATTATTGACTTCAACATCGAATGGATGGGAAGCTCAAAATAATGCCGAAGTGCAAAATTTGACCGTTTCAGGAAATATCATCTTAAAATATTTATGCTGGAATAATTTATTGAAATATTTATGCTGGAATAATTCTAATTTTGCTGCTTATCAAGTATAAAGAAATTATTTGGATAGAGATTTACGTACCAACAATAATGCGAAGAACTGATATGAAAGTCCTGTTATAAGCTCGGCACGAATTTCACCTGATAGCGACGATTGCACCAATAAAATTGAATGTCGCAATGCATATCGTGGAGTAAGTACCGTCTTGAAATGTTAATAAGAATTATTTAGACATAGAGTCGGTGATAAAAAATTATAAAGAGCCGGTGATAAGGAGTCGGTGATGAAAGATTACTTATTATCGGTGATAAAAGATTAATCATTTATTATTCATAGTATATAATACGATAAATAATAAATAAGTATTAGCAAAGATTATTATTCATAGTATATAATACGATAAATAATAAATAAGTATTAGCAAATATTATTATTCATAAAATATAATACGATAAATAATAAATAATTGATAGCAAAGAATAGCTCACAGTTGCCGCAGATGAAGAGGATAATGAAGTAGAAGCAGGCAACCATGCCGAAGCTTGCCACGCCGCCGTACGCGCGGATGCCGTCGTACATTACCACGTTCCAGTCCTCGCCCGTCAGGATCTGAACAACAACACATTTTCCAAACACATTTTTGAGTTTCCCCCATTTTTTGAGTTTCCCACATTTTTTGAGTTTCTCACAGTTTCACACATTTTTTGACTTATTTTCCAAATATTTTGCCACACATTTGAAAGACATTTTCCCACACATTTTCCAACACAATTTTTTTTCCACACAAGTCTGAATAAATGTTGGGTTATCGTGTTTCGAGTACAATAAGTTCAATCGTTATTCGACAGTACTACATTTTATAATAATCTTGGGGTTGCCAAAACCCATAACTAGCTGTGAAAATTCGTGTCGAAATCGACAAGGTGGCTTAATTGGTGGTTAACAATTGGTGACAGGCAAACAATTAACCCTGACACGGCTATATCATAGACATTATATTAATATACATCATCTTATTATAGTATATAATAGTCAAATACGATGACAATTAGTTTCCCGTATGACAGAACTAGACGATGGAGCACCACTCATGTTGCTTTCATCACCACCACAAATTACGACACACTGGCTCTGCCATGAATAAATAAGCCTAACCATAGCGTGCCATCGACATTCATACCCGTTCAATTCAGAATTTATTATATGCAGAATCCAATTAATTACAACATTTAAAATTGATTATTAGTCTTCTATTGGTACCGTTAATATCTTGCAAACATCCTCGATATCATAATTAATCAAAAGAGAAGAAAAATAAGAAATTTGGAAGCCTTTTGGACAGCAAAACGATTTATGAAGTAAAACTTTCATACTAAGTGGTGATCATCTTTAAACAAGAAAACGCCTTGTAGGATGCAGTTTACTGGAATGTGGAAGAACCCTGATTCAAGTCTCGCCTGATCATCGTGGGTCTCATATTACATAATTATATCAATCTAGAACTAAAAACCAGCACCACTTGTGATCATCACATCACCAATTGCGACCTCCACACCACCACTGGCGACCACCACATCACCACTTATAACCACCACACCATAACTTATGACCACCACATCAACACTTGCGACCGCATATGATGATGTGTACAAACATATATGTGTGTACACCACTCATCACTTGCGACCACATATGATGATGTGTACAAACATATGATGTGTGTACAATAATCAACACTTGTATAATCACCATATCATCATACCTGGAAGACGGTGAGCATGGCCTGGGTGAAGCTGTCGAAGTTGTGTCTTGGTTTGTTGGCCGTGGGGTCAAAGTTGAAGCGTCCGCCGAAGACCTGCATGCCCAGCAGCGCGAAGATGATGATGAAGAGGAACAGCAGCAGCAACAGCGACGCGATCGACTGGATGGAGTTCAGCAGCGATGCTACGAGGTTTGAGAGCGATCTCCAGTACCTGGAGACACATAATAGCGATCTCCAATACCTGGAGACATATCATAGCGATCTCCAATACCTGGACACATATCATAGCGATCTCCAGTACCTGGAGACACATCATAGCGATCTCCAATACCTGGAGACACATCATAGCGATCTCCAATACCTGGACACATATCATAGCGATCTCCAATACCTGGAGACACATCATAGCGATCTCCAATACCTGATCCACCTGAATACCTGAATACCAGCGATCAATACCAGATCACGGTTCCACAACTTCCTTACAGATAGAGTACAAGCTGTCGCAATTGGAAACTCGAAATCGAGAGAAGCGAAGGTGAAAAGCGGAGTTCCGCAGGGCTCAGTGCTTGGACCGATCCTCTTCCTCATCAACATAACCGATATTGACTCAGAACTCACCCACGCATCTACATCGTCATTTGCGGTCGATACAAGAGTGCTGATGAAGATCACAGATGGCCTGGACTGCGAGAGGTTACAGGATGATCTACCGTCAATCTACGATTGGGCCCTAGTGAACAATATGCAGTTCAACGGCACCAAGTTCGAAGTAATACTGAAGCCACGTTTGATGCCCATATCGAGGACATAGTCGCGCGAAGCAGACAACGGAAGGGTTGGATCTGGCGGATTACACTCTTCAGAGCCCTTGTGCTCCTCAATCTTTGTACTGCTGCCAACTTTGGGCACCACTCAAGGCGGTGCGGTGCGGAAATTAGAGACAATGCAGCGGACCTTCACGTACAGGATCAGCGGCATGAGGGAGCTGAACCTGAACTACTGGGGAAGGCTGAAACACCTGGAACTGTACTCACTGGAGAGAAGAAGAGAAAGGTATATCATACTGTACACTTGGAAGATGATAAACGGACTGGCTCCCAACTTTGAGAGTGAGACCTATTAAATGTACAATATGCATATATAATTGGTGAATATAGTATCTATATATGACTAACAATAACGGAAAATGAAAACAGTTACTTCGTTTGATATATTATCATATACATAGACGATGATCTATCCACTCGTATAAACCGTGAGTGAAAAGGCCTTGCGTTCACGATGGAAAGTCACACTCATGATATGTAAACCGTGACAAAAAATGCACGCAAATCTTGAAGATGCGTGAACGCGCCCCACTTGCACTGATGCGCGTCACGCACCACGATACCACGCACACGAACGCTGTACACGCATCGAGAGTTCACGAACAGAAGCGTTACGAAAGTTGTTCTCGTTTTCTTTGCGGTTTTCATTCCATTGAATATTTTCGTTCATCGTGAGAAACATCTTTTGAGCGCAGTAACTTCACGCACTGCTAGCTTCACGCACTGCTAGCTTCACGCCTTGCTAGCTTCACGCACTGCTAGCTTCACGCACTGCCAGCTTCACGCACTGCTAGCTTCACGCACTGCTAGCTTCACGCACTGCTAGCTTCACGCACTGCTAGTTTCACGCACTGCTAGTTTCACGCACTGCTAGCTTCACGCACTGCTAGCTTCACGCACTGCTGGCTTCACGCACTGCTAGCTTCACGCACTGCTAGCTTCACGCACTGCTTGCTTCACGCACTGCTTGCTGTATGCACTGCTTGCTTCACGCACTGCTAGCTTCACGTACTGCTAGCTTCACGCACTGCTAGCTTCACGCACTGCTAGCTTCACGCACTGCTAGCTCCACGCACTGCTTGCTGCACGCACTGCTTGCTTCACGCACTGCCAGCTTCACGTACTGCTAGCTCCACGCACTGCTAGCTTCACGCACTGCTAGCTTCACGCACTGCTAGCTTCACGTACTGCTAGCTCCACGCACTGCTTCCTCCACGCACTGCTTGCTTCACGCACTGCTAGCTTCACGTACTGCCAGCTTCACGCACTGCTAGCTTCACGCGTTGCTAGCTTCACGCACTGCTAGCTCCACGCACTGCTAGCTTCACGCACTGCTAGCTTCACGCACTGCTAGCTTCACGCACTGCTAGCTTCACGCACTGCTAGCTTCACGCACTGCTGGCTTCACGTACTGCTGGCTTCACGTACTGCTAGCTTCACGTACTGCTAGCTTCACGCATTGCTAGCTTCACGCACTGCTAGCTTCACGCACTCATCATTTCACGCACTTTTACTCTCTTTATTCGTACTCTCTCAATTCGTAAAGTTATATTAATATTGGTATTTAGGAATAATTTTTTACTATTTGTTTTATTGGTGATTATATAAGCGAATATTTGATAGCTGAAAGCAATTAATTTGTAAGATCCATATCAGTTAATGCTTGGATAACAATAGATATTTTTTTACAAAGAAACGTAAGTACTAACACAATAGAACAATCAATTGAAGGACGATCAATCTTTTGTGTGCATTGTATCCATTGTTTATATTTTGTCAATACATTTTGTGTGTATTGGTCATTTCCACGGTATTGTTAATAACTTGATAATTGTTCATTGTTATGACGCTTTGTTTGCATGTCATCTTCCTATGCAATAACTGTTCATGCAATAACGATTTTTTAGTGAGATATTGTGCGTGCAAACGACACGAAAACAATAACCACTCTTGCGTGGCTTGTGCGTGCAATTCGTGTGTTGCGTATAAATAAAAAACATTCGTGTGTTGTATAAAAAAAAACATTCGTGCGTGGCGCATAATGCGTACAAACACCAAACATTCGTGCGCGTAATATTTCTATTTTGTTAACGGCTTTTAATTTTATTTTTTATTGGTAGCGTAAGAATTTCCTGTCACTTGGCATACATAAAAAATTCTTTTTTTCTTCATACAAACAAAAGTGAAATAATATTAACGAATGCCGTCGGTCTGCAAGAGACCGGCCGCTATTGTCTTCTGGACAGACCGCGTTTATAGGTCGCTTGTACAGACACGTTGACCGCATTAGCGGGGTCTGCAACTGCGTGATTATTGGCGATTATTTCGCCGTGAGTGAACAATTGGCCGAGTAATCGGTTAATTGATCGATTATTACCAATTGATCGATTAATACATTTTTTGATCCATTTATCATTTATTGATTAGTTGATCGGTTGATTGATCGATTAGTTGATCGGTTGATTGATCGATTAGTTGATCGGTTGATTGATCGATTAGTTGATCGCTGGATCGCCGCCTCGATCGATCGCTGGATCGCCGCCTCGATCGATCGCTGGATCGCCGCCTCGATCAATCGCTGGATCGCCGCCTCGATCGATCGCTGGATCGCCGCCTCGATCGATCGCTGGATCGCCGCCTCGATCGATCGCTGGATCGCCGCTTCGATCGATCGCTGGATCGCTGCCTCGATCAATCGCTGGATCGCCGCCTCGATCGTACGCTGGATCGCCGTATCGATCGATCGCTGGATCGCCGCCTCGATCGATCGCTAGATCGCTGTATGTAGGCCATCGGCCTTGTTTTCCTGCTGAACATTTTCGCCGTGGTTTGTTTTTGTTGTTTTCCTAATTAATAAATGAAAATGCATGCATTTAATTAAGCCATTAGCTGGATTAATGAATTCGATAGAAATATCTTAAATCGGGTACAGTTTTATGTAAGTTTTCATTATACTCTTATTAGAAGATTTAATCATGGTTATAATCATTAATCAAAGTTGCCATTAAAATTCAGTAATATGCCATATGATTAACAAGTAACACGAATATCAGACATCGAGAATATTTGAGACATGAAGACTTAAGAAATATTTTAATTCGTTTAATTATATTTTGTATGCTCATTTAAATTAGATAAAATATATCGTGGAAAGTAAAGGAATGCGGAAATTCAAACGAATTTAACCTGAGGAATTTCGCCACTGCTTTGCTTTATCTCTTAATGGAGCTTAATTAATGTTGTTAATTATCGAGTTGCTCTTAATTATTAATCTTTTTTATCAAGATGCTGTAACTCGGGCGTAGTTCATAGCGCTGCTGTTGCGTCACTGCGCTCTGTGGCGTAGGAGGGCGCGCGTACTGCATTAGCATACGCCCTGTGTGGTGCTGTGTGATGTGTGTGTGGGTGTGTGTGTTTGTGTGTGTGATGTGTGTGTCGGTGTGTGTTGGTGTGTGTGGTGTTAGTGTGTATGTGTGATGTGTATGGTGTTGGTGCGTAATGTGTGTGTGTGTGTGTGTGTGTGTGTGGTGCTGTTTGTGATGTGTGTTGGTGTGTATGATAATGCGCCATGTGTGGTGTTTGTATGATGTGTGAACGTCATCTCATTACCTTTGTTGCAACGCTGAACTTTTTAGCTGCAAGTTTCACCTTCGTTGTCGCCTTTGTTATCATTGAACTGTTATCTTTGTCAGCGTACAAAGATGCCGTTTTTGTGATCGTACATGCATTTGTTCTCTTTGTTACAATAACGATAATGAAGCTGGGTCTGATTAAGGCTTGTTCTCTTTGTTATCATGATGATAATGATGCTTGGTCTCATTGCTGTCCTTGGTTGATTGATAGCTGCTATTATTAACCGTTAATTAATGTGTCGTTTTATGCTTGAATTTATCATGAATGTGTGGATTTGTGTTACTATTTTTATATAATTTTGATGTATTTTTGAAATATTATTTAAACGTGCGATCTGGCCGCTCGCAATATAATCTATTAATCCAATTTTAATCCAATAGCATTTATTTTGATTAATTCAAAATTCTTCATTTATTCAATCTAATCTTGAATAATCCCAATAATTTTTTATATAAGAAAACATGTAATAATATAATATAATAAAAGATAATTTATAATAACAATGAAACAATAAATACATTAATTAAGTTAAGTTATTTAAGTAAGCAATAAAAATACATAGCGTTGACACCGTTATAAGCATTGCAGCGCGGTGCAATCCCAACAATTTATTGCTCTCATTAACAGCGCTGCAATTTGTGCTAAACTATTTATTTAATTGCCTCGCAATTGCAAGATGAATTGCAAGCAATGTGGAACGCGGCAACATGTAATGGCAACTGCAATGTGGAACGCGGCAACATGTAATGGCAACTGCAATGTGGAACGCGGCAACGTGTAATGGCAACTGCAATGTGGAACGCGGCAACGTGTAATGGCAACTGCAATGTGGAACGCGGCAACGTGTA